CTCGAGTGGCAGCCTCGTACCGGCAGGCAAAGTGGATCCCCCACTAGATGGAGTGATGACCTGGTAAGACATGCAGGAAGTTGGCGGATGCAGGGGGCTCAGGACCGTGCTTTGGGGAGGCACATAGTCCTCAAACTGAACATATTCAACAATGAACTTGTGAAGGGCTGTAATGTTGATATTTTACCTTTTTTTGTGAACTTGATCAAAAGTATTCCTTTGGAATCCCAAAACACTGTGGTCATGATTTTCCCAGCCGATGGAGTGGCTTTGAACTTTTTGGAGGGATCTGATCCCTTTTCATGTTATTACTTAGACTCTTGTTTACTCTCAGCGTCATAGTGATAAACCCGCGTTTCATCTCCCGTAACTATTTTAATGAAAACACTTGTTGGGTCGTCAGCACACAGCTCTAAATACTCCCTACAACAGTCAACCCGCGACTGCTTTTAAAACGCGGTGAGCATTCGCAGCCCCCATTTTGGACTGATTTCTGTGAGGTTGTGATAGTCGTGACACGTGGTGAGTATATTCTTACTCGTGCATTCTTTTATACAAGTTTTTCAATCATTTTTACATTTTCCTCTGTAGCCGTTGTGATCAGTCCACCTGGGCGGTGGTCATCTTCAATGCTTTCCCTGCCTCTTTTGAATTCACTTGGACACTTCTGTACAGTTGATTTTGAAGGAGCACAGTCTTGGTAAACGGCTGTCTTTTAATATGGATGTTTTTTAGTTTTTCCTTGGTAGTGTGGAGTTGAATCACCGCATGGTGTTCTATTTTTTTCAGCATTGTCGACTCAATCATTTCCATTGTCTATGACTGCAGGTTACATAAAAGTAATGAAGTCATGAAGACGAAATTTCATGTTAATACATTCATGGTGGTAGCTCAGATGGTTAACGCTCGCTGTAAATATAACAGAACGCGAGTAGCCCGGGTTCGATCCCCGCCGGCACCAATCAAATTGTTAAATGCAATTTTAAGTGCTGATGCACGTGGTAAACGTGTTCGGCGGTGAAGGAAAACATCGTGAGGAAAACCTGCATGTCTGAAAAATAAGAAATAAATTAAATAAAAAATAAATTCCTTGCGTTATAAAGTTGTCTGAAGGAAATTGTTTCCAGATGCTCAACAACCTCAACACATAACACTCTTCACATTTTTAAAATTTATTCCAATAAAATTACATTCAGATCTTTTCCTTTTATATTATGTCAGAATGTGGCACTGATACGTTACGCTTACCGTGAGCCGGAATCATACTTCTTTGCCGTTAAATGAAACAAATGTCGTACGTTTATCATTTTTATGGCGTTATTAAACCGCATGTGCCATATAAAATCATTTAAAGTCTAACTTGAAAGTAGATTTATAGATTATATATATATATATATATATATATATATATATATATATATATATATATATATCTTTGTATAACTATATATACTACAACTATATATATATGTGCAGAATATGGGCGACAAACGGGCATACAATCCACCTGATGATAGATGGATGCTGTGGCCCATAAATATCTAGATCGATCTTCAATTAAGAATCGAAATACTTTATCAACCCTTCAGACTGCGATGGAATGCCTCGTTTCCAGTAGTCTTGAGCTGTTATTACACGCTAGTATTTAGTAAGAGCGTGTTTATTCTCTTGTAAATCCAACTCATTCGTGCTACAACCATAATATAGCTGCAGCGTGGCTATACCACGTATAAGAAGAAAATTATATATAATTAAGAATTGTAGTTAAGTTGATGGACTATGCTTTTAAATACGTAAAACTGACTTCAAACAATTAAAAGAATGTTTACCCATATTGCGTGCTAGGTTAGGATGATAATAGAGCACACAGTCCACTTGATGGTAAATGAATTCTGGGCCCCACAGTAATCTACATTTGTTGCCCACTATATTTAAAAATGCTGATGCGTCTCTCTTGAGGACTAAGATAGAACGCCCCGTATTTCGTGAAAAAGGGTCTGCGGTTCTCTCGCCTTAAGAAACACAGTACCTTTGAGCTGATACTTAACGCTGGTACGATCTAGGAGAGTTTTCTTCCCCCAGCTGAGCCGACCCAATCGTCTTGCATCTATAACATAGAACGCTGTAGAATAAAAATTTAAGTATTTCACTTGAATCCTATCATCAGATCTTTACCTAATATATCCAGTAATAAGTAGGACCACACTGGAAGTATCCTTTTTCTAACAAAAAGAAACATAGAATTCGGATAACGTGATAAAAGACACTACCCCTAAACATATTTAAAAATATTCCGACTAAGCAACTCCTCCTTTTTCTAAAGTTGGTTGGAAATATGTAAATCGCCAACATTACGATGTAGCAATTTTTATTCTCTCAAGCAATAAGTGCTAAAATAAAACTTGTTGCCCGAGTGGAATTTGGATGTAACCGACTGCAGCTGAAAGCACTTTGCTGCTGACTAAGCGATGTCATGTATCTGGTACAGATAAGGAGATAAGTGTTCAGCCGGAAACTTTTAATACATTTTAGATAATTGTGGTATCGACTCTATACTCACCAATCCGCCTGCTTTGTGTGTTTAATATTAGAAAAACTTTCAAGTAATATAATTATTAATTAGCTCATTTTCTTTAATCGTGATCATCATCATCACAGCCCTCCACAAGTCCACTGCTGAACATACGCCTCGCGTAAAGAATGTCACAAAGCACAATTCTGAGCCAACTGTATTCATACCTAACATGTGCTATGGAACCATTCTTGAGGTGATAAATAATATTATATATTATGGCAATCACAAAATATTTGTTAACAACCCAATATGGATTACTTTTATTAATTATCCTCACATCACTACACCTAGTTGTAGAGAATACAGGTTTCCTGCGTAGATTATCATAAGCAATTTTAACGTTATATTTTACATTTATTTTAAGTTATACTAGCTGGCACCTGGCGCATTGCTGCCGTAGAAGAAACAATTGTGGAAATGTCGTTTAATTTGGAGGAGTAGAATTAATAAATAATAATAATAATAAAATCCTTTATTTCGACCAACAATAGACATAGATTGTTAGTAAAACAAACCTTGACTTAATGTTAGTTATAAAATAAAATATAAATTAATATTAAATATTAAAATGTTAGTAACAATGGTACTTATCCTATATTAGTAACTTAGCCTACACCCAGCCTCACATAACGAAACCCAGTTGAGGTTCTTCTGGTGCTGGTGTGTGCACCATTCCAAATTCTCCAGAGAGGGCTATCCAGCTTCACAGCCCCAATGTGCTAAGAAGGGTGTTGGAGCTCCTTAATAGCCTGCTCATCATGGACGCAGCACGCTTGCGCATGATCGCGTAGAAGTCGTCCACACGAGCATCCGCAAACATTGCCGACGCACTACAGTGTCGAGGCCTCCTCAACATTATCCTCAGCACATTGTTGTACTGAACACGCAGAGCACTGTAGGCTCGCTGCGTATAGTTAGTCCACAGACTGCACGTGTAAAAGGATTGGCAACACGCCTTGAACAAAGTTAACTTGACTTGTGTCGTACTACGTGCAAATTTGCGAGCCAACATATTGCCCCGGACCCACAGCGCTCGGCGCTCTCGTTCAATGTCGCTGTCGTCATCCAGGCGTTCAGTTACAATGTGTCCGAGGTACCTAAACTCAGCCACTTGTCTCAGAGCCGTGCCACATAGCTGGATACGAGGTTTGAAGTCAAGTGGTTTGTTTTTACCTCTGAAGACAATAAATTCACTCTTTTTTGAGTTGTAGATGAGTCCAGTCTCCTCGGCATATTCTTCACAAATTCTCAACAGTTTACGAAGCCCTCTGACTGAGGGGCTCAACAGAACCATGTCGTCTGCGTAACTAAAGTTATTCATCGAAACACCGTCTATTGAACAACCGACAGCTGCTCTGCTGAGCCTCTCAATCAGTCTGTTAACATAAAGATTAAACAGCCTGGGTGACGTCTGTCCTCCCTGCCTCACTCCGCACTCTAGTTTATAGGGGTCACTAAAGGCGTTACCCCATCTAACTGTGTTAGTCTGATTACCGTACCAATATTCCAGCAGTGAAACCGACTCCGGTCTTAAACTACTTTCCTGTTTTAGTTTCCGTCATAGGATTCTGTAAGACACACGGTCGAAGGCTTTGAAGACAAATCCAGGAAACACGCATACACCTGAGTCTTTCTGTCCGTGTAGTACCGCACAGTCTGCTTGAGACACAGTATTACGCTCTCCGTTGATAGTTCGGGCCTAAACCCAAACTGTGCGTCATGTAACTTTACTGCCTTACTTAACTGTGTATCAAGCAGACTATCCAGAACTTTAGCCGAGATGGTCGCTAAGGATATCGGCCTGTAGTTGGTTTCATCCGCTGCATCGCTCGTCTTATTCTTAAGGATAGGTACAACCACTGTCCTCATCATTGTATCAGGCAAGTAACCATGACTAACACATAGGTTGTAGAGTAGTTTGAGGACTCTGTAAAGGTGCACACCCGCACATCTGAGGTGTTCGACGCTGAGGCCATCGTGACCTGATGATTTCCCACTCTTAATATTGTTATAGCTGATTTAACTTCGGCGATTGTGAAGCGCAGCGGGCTATCCCCCATAATCACACTGTCCCTTGCGTCACCATCATTCACCATATAACTAACGCTGCACGGTTTCACCTTAAACTGCGACATGAATAGGTTCGCTATATTCCGACATCCACTCATGGTTCCCACTTGAGCTGAGAGACTCGACCTTGGACTCAGTCTGTTCGTGTGCTGCCAGAATTTTGCTTAGCCACACAGCCACATTTTAATTTGTTCTTCATTATCCTGGCACCATTTGAGTTTGCTTTTAAAAGCCTTACGTGACTCTTTCATATCCTCGTATACTGCCCCACACGTTGGCTTTCCAACATGTACCCACGACTGAAAACAAAGGCGAGCTCTGTCGTGAGCCGGCCTCACATGCGTGTTCCATCCCACTATCTGTCGCATTTTGTTACGCTGTACACTCTTATGACTCTAAATTGCAGCATCCTGCAATATAACTATAATATTCTCGTATAATTCATTTATAATTAATTTATGCCCAGATTTATCACAGAATTTATCACAACAATTATTTAACTCTACAGAAAAATCTACTAATCTTAATCTATTATTACAATATACTGAATATAGGTTAATCTGTTGACTATCCCTGTGCCCCCAAATTACTCTATTTGTACTTTTAGACTGGATGGGCTGTACCTGCGAGAAACCTAAACTAATTTTACATTCCACTTTCAAGGGTCACTATGATCAGACCACGTCACATCGTTTCTTACGTGTATGCTTTCAATATATTTATTAGCCATACACGTTACAAGGCAATGGTCCAACCATCGTGAGCAGGAGCAACATTGTACACATGCACACCCTAAAAACCCCCCCGCAAAAAAACTATACTAATGTCACATTCCTCGATAATTGCGTTAATTTCACTTAGGCACTCTGTGAATTCCGCAAGGTTCTCGACACAGTCTGTCGGCATATAGACGGAAAAAATAAGCATAGCTTGTTCACGTACTTGACACTTAATCGCACACAGCCTCACACTATTACATTTTATTACAGACACCGAAGAAAACACATTCTTATACCATAACAGCGCAACACCCCCGTGTGGTCGCCCACGCAAAATGCCCGCGGCTGAATCTACAGCAGTAGTACCCGTGGTTTCAAAGTCTTCATGAACGGTGCTGAGGTATGAGAGGTCGTGGTCCATTAGCCAGGTCTCTTGCAATGCTACTACCGAGGCACCCTCACACAACACCCTCACACTGTCTACCGATCGCTTCAGGGACTTACAATTAAAGCTAACAAGCTTTAATGTCCGACGTTCATGACTATTTTTATCCTGACCCATTATTTATGTTCTTCTTTTGATACAACAGTGTCTTTTTCACATTTCTAAATATTATGAATCGTCTAAAATATATGCCTTCCGGCCATAATTTATCGTCACTAAATAAGGACAACTTACTCCTAGGTATATAGAATTTAAAAGAAATATAATACCTTGAAGATTTCATATGTACTTTTTCTGGCACAATACGAATATGTGTCTTTTCGAATACATAATCCGCAACATCTTGCTCTGTATTCTCCTTTGAGACATTATAAATGAAAAGCGGGATTTGCACATCGGCTGCCCTTAATTTAAGTAACGGATCTATCGAAGCCTTTCCCCGCATGCCTTTAAAACGTGACGTCTTACGCCTTACGACCTGAACCCATTCTCCTTCACTATTATTTTGTATCTCGGCTTCCCCATCACCGCCCGTTATGATCGCGCGTGACACCGCCGCAACCGCTGGCAGCGAAGACGGCGACGGCGCCACCGCTTCGACGTTCAGCACGTGCGAAGTGCATTCTTGATCTCCGCAGTGGGCCTCCGTTCCGTGGTGGGCCTCCACGTGTTGCCGTTTCTGCCCGGGAGCGACAGAGAGCGGCTCACCGGTAGACACCGCCGCAGTTCTCACGTAGGAAGGAGATGGGTGCGCAATAACTCGTTCTTGCATAAATATGCTCGGCGGTGTATCACTTCCTAGGTCGGTCATTAACCCCATCGGCCCGCTTGTTGAGTCATAACTACCTTGCAGGCAAAAGCCGCCCCTCCTGTTATTCACACAAGGCTCCATTTTCCTCGTTTCTCCATACAATGTATCCGGATTGTTTTCTTTGTCAACATATTTTTCAAAATCTTTTTTTGTCATATATTCGTCCTGTTTCCCTTGTAGGTCACGTACCTGAGTCTGAAGCAAAAGAATATCCTTCAATAGACGCGTAGCGTCGACATGGTCAAATGTAACGGGTGGCAACTTATGTAGATCTTTTGCCACAAATATAGGAATGTCATCGGGCTCAGCACATCTTAATACTGTCATCTATATTTTTCTGTTTCCGATCTTCACCCTTCCGTTTAACCAGTCGTTGCGGAATCGACTCGAACAGCAAACACTTTGCCTCGTAAATCTCCTCCTCATCAAAGGACTGCTTACATAACAGTGCCAAACTAACATTGTTCATGACGTCTAGTTTATTTTGGCAAAAACATAACACCTCATTTATCACAATCTGACAACTATTACACTTTAGTTTACTCATCTCGCTAGAGGTCATCAACCTCTGACCGACCGCGCGCGCTGTCAGCTGACGACTGATTATTATTAAAGTAATAGTATTGCTTAAGTAGGAATGATAATACATTCACTGAAGTTAAATGATATATAACTTTGAAAAAAATTTTTCAGTGTGATACGCGCGCCATCTACTGTAATTTTATATTTGCGCAAATACCAGCAATAAGTTGATAAATATTTACCGTAACTATTTGAACGGTATGGTAGCGCATGAAATACTATCAAACGATTATAATTTTCATGTATTCGATTTCTTGTGTCCCATACAATGTTACACGACGACGCTCTTGCGCAGTTGGAGATGATACAGAAGGTGTATATACCTTCTGTACTAATTAGATCAATTAAGTTTTATATCATAAAGTGTGGGAAAATGTTCAAGAGTCTTTTGTTCTATATTGTGATACAACAGGCATTGCTGCATTTGTGTCACAGTACGTTGGTACTAAGTTGCCACTAGAGAACCTTTCTTCTTCATCGGTTGTTGGTCTTGATAAATAATAATGGATGGATTCTATTCTTTGGTTATAAGTATTCGAACCTTTTAATTGCTTGGGATACGAATCCACAACTTTGTAATCAGTTGTCCGTAAATTTGCCATGTAATTTCCATGTAGCAAAATCAAAACTTCTGAAACACTTTGTTTCGCGACTATACGTCTAAGTATGTAAATCCCTTATTCACGACGTCTATTGTGAGCGACGTGTTTCCCTATTTCTTCCTATAGAGCATTACTGAACAAAACGTAACCGAAAGAACCAAAGAACGAAAAAAACCAGCTTAAAATAGCAGCTCAATGCTGATGTGTTTATGGTGTATGGTGAGTGTACCAGAGACCCTTTTTACTGGAAACGAGGTATTCTATCTTAATCTTCACGGTTGACAACGCATCTGCATTTTGATTTGTAATCGAGGATAAATGTAATGTCTATGGGCCGCAGCAACCACTTACCGTCAGGTGGACTGTGTGCTCGTTTGTCACCCTATCCTATAAAAAAATACATGACGTTCACTAACCTACCTGAGTCAGGTGATTACGATGTTTAAACCCATTTTATTCACCTCGAATACCTAATAATTTAAAAGCGAAATTAGCCTAATGGTACAGTTTTTACTGCAAACTCAGAAAGTAGTGGTTTCGTATACACCTTTCGATTACTGTGGTGAAACCCTCTCTGCTAGTATTTTAAGTTTACTAAGAGAGGTATTAGCGTAATTTTAAGGATAATTTTAATATGTGCTGTCTCTATTTCTTTTTTTATTTAAGGCACTTGCCACACTTTTCAACCACGTAATGGGCATACTCACATAAAAATCTAACTGGCACTAAGTTCGCATTTTCTAACCTTTATAATAAAAACAATTAAGTCTTGAAATAAATAAATAGAATATTTACTGCAATGTGTCCAACCTCAAATTGCGTTTTTAAATCAGTCATTTTAACCATTAAATGCCACATCAGTATTACGGCAACTTTTCATTTTAATCTTCAAGTTAAAACCCTTTCGTTGATGAATTTGTGATAAATAAGCAACTTATTGGATTGATTAAAAAGTTTTCGAAAGAGAGCACTTATGAATGAGTTATAGAAATGAAAAACATTAAAATCGAACAAAATTGTAAAAATTGATCAACGTGTTTGAAAAATTGATTCGTCATTTAGATGAGATTCTAAAAAATTGCTCGGAATAGTTCAGTTTATTTTAAATATACCTTAAAGTTCAAAAAGGTGCTCGCGCGCTGGGTTCATCAAATATTGATAGAAGCCCAAAAGAAACCAAGAGTTGACATATCTAAGCTAAATATTGCAACGATTGAAGAAGATTAAAATTATTTTATGCTCGTTTCGTAATCGTAGATGAAACGTGAGTTTGAATACATTTTGAAAGATACTGATGATGTGCCCACAAACGCATCGATTAATTGCCGATTGATCGACGTAAATCAATGATTGGACAACGTTTTATCGGCCAGTATCCGTCGATCAGCTAATGCTACTACACAAATCGATTGACATCTATCGATAATCGATCGATTGGTGTGGTAACACCCGAAGAATATAAATGTGGTGTATTTTAAATACATGAAAAATTTATTTCTATTATCAATACTGTACATGATAACTTTGTCATTGCATGTCAGGGACTGGCTCCAGACATGCAGTCTAATAGAATTTGGATTATGAGGTCCGGGATTGGAAGCCGAGTCAAAAAAATCATTTTATTGAGTTTTTCCGTCAACAAATTCTCAGTAGCTGCCCGAAGTCAGAAAGTTGGCGGTGTCTCACTCAATGCCTCGGATAGCACGTAAAACTGTTGGCTCTGTGCCTGATCTGCCTCCGATTGTGTAGGTTTACCGTCCCATCGGACTACGAAAATGAGAGAATAGAGAATGCACCCGTGCTTGCGTATACCCGTGTACTCTAGTTCTGCCCAGCGCAAATTGCTAGTCTTGGTTGAGGCTGGCCACCGTAACCAAAATTCAGTCTGGAGGACATTATTAGATACATCAGTCCTTTGACACCTGTTTCTAACATCATAAAAAAATCTTACCAAACAAACACTTACCTATTTTTGCCGTTTAAGAGCAGTGCTTGCATTGCTATGGTTTGGTCTGAAGTGTATAAAGAGCTAGTGTAATTCCAGGTTGTACTTCAATCCATCTTAGGCCATAGGGGTGACAAGGCATCTGCATTTTAATTCTTTATCGAGAGAAGATTTAGATGTCTATGGCCCGCAGCATCCATTTATCATGAGTTGGACCTCTTACCCTTATTCTATAAAAAATAGACGACAGCAAAATACGTTCTTAAACAATACACTAGGACAATAAGCTAGGAGTCCTCGAAAAGGTACGGTTATACTTCACGACGGGACAGCTGATTACTTTATATAAAATGGAGCTTACATAGGAGCTGGTGCTGCAAAATGCCACCAAGCAGCCTTACACTCAATGGAAAAGCGTGCTAAGAGGCTTATTGGTGACCCGAATTTGGTTAAAACTAATTCTGATTCCTCCCTCTCCCTTCCACCATCAGACAACCATACGTTCTGCAAGTCTCTAGCCTTTAGTTGCTGAGTTACCACGCTTTCAAAGCAAAGCAAAAGAGTGGAATAAGTAGCCAGCATCTGTCTTTCGATTCGATTGCAGTGTGGGTGTCTTCAAGGCAAGCGTGAATAGGCTTTTTTTTAATCAGTGCGCTTCATCATCTTTGGCTACATCACCACTAACCATCTAGTGGAATTGTAGTTAAGTACTGGTTTAGAATGATATAAAAAGACATATTTTATTATTTATGGCATGTTAAAGTCGAAAACTATCAAATGTAGAGATGAACTCTGCAACTTATTCTCGTACATCTAGACAGTGTGTTGCTCCCGAAAATTTCTAAAATTAGTTTCACAGTTCACTTGTTCGCTTAATTAAGAACTATTTAATAACTATAACTAAATAGAGAGCAATAATATCTATTTAAATTCATTTCAAAAGTAATGAGCAGGAGACTGAAGAGTGTTTAAACTTGACAAACATCAAAGGTAGACAGAAGTGTAAATAGTTAACTAATATGGTTATTAAAAATAAAACTTCAAAATTAAATTCTATTCTTAATCTTTTCTGTTTTAACGCTTTCGACTGCCTCGTTGGTCTTGTGATTGTAAGAGCAACTGTTAATCATGAGGTACCGGGTTTTAACGCTTTCGACTGCCTCGTTGGTCTAGTGATTGAAAGAGCAACTGTTAATCATGAGTACTTTAACGCTTCAGCCTCGTTGGTCTAGTGATTGAAAGAGCAACTGTTAATCATGAGGTACCGGGTTTTAATGCTTTCGACTGCCTCGTTGGTCTAGTGATTGAAAGAGCAACTGTTAATCATGAGGTACCGGGTTTTAACGCTCTCGACTGCCTCGTTGGTCTAGTGATTGAAAGAGCAACTGTTAATCATGAGGTACCGGGTTTTAACGCTTTCGACTGCCTCGTTGGTCTAGTGATTGAAAGAGCAACTGTTAATCATGAGGTACCGGGTTTTAACGCTTTCGACTGCCTCGTTGGTCTAGTGATTGAAAGAGCAACTGTTAATCATGAGGTACCGGGTTTTAACGCTTTCGACTGCCTCGTTGGTCTAGTGATTGAAAGAGCAACTGTTAATCATGAGGTACCGGGTTTTAACGCTTTCAACTGCCTCGTTGGTCTAGTGATTGAAAGAGCAACTGTTAATCATGAGGTACCGGGTTTTAACGCTTTCGACTGCCTCGTTGGTCTAGTGATTGAAAGAGCAACTGTTAATCATGAGGTACCGGGTTTTAACGCTTTCGACTGCCTCGTTGGTCTAGTGATTGAAAGAGCAACTGTTAATCATGAGGTACCGGGTTTTAACGCTTTCGACTGCCTCGTTGGTCTAGTGATTGAAAGAGCAACTGTTAATCATGAGGTACCGGGTTTTAACGCTTTCGACTGCCTCGTTGGTCTAGTGATTGAAAGAGCAACTGTTAATCATGAGGTACCGGGTTTTAACGCTTTCGACTGCCTCGTTGGTCTAGTGATTGAAAGAGCAACTGTTAATCATGAGGTACCGG